GGTTTTTGGAAACATTTTAACATTTCTTTCATTCAAAACAAAGGTTAAAATCAAAACAAAGCAAGAAATATCCCAAATAAATAAATATACATGGAAGTCACAGACTTGACTGGATTTTTCCTAGGGGGAAAAGTGCTGGAGGCAGAAGCGAGAACTAGAGCTAGAAGTGTCCCTTCAAGTACTCTGCTTCCTCTTCCTCCTCCCCATCGAACAGGCGGTGGAACTGAAGCCAGGAAGGTTCGGTTAACTGCTGTATCGTGCACAGCAGACACGGGAGCCCAGAACCAACAGCCTGGCTGAGTGCTCTTGCTGCCACACGAGCTGCCTCTCTTGCTTTTCTTTCATGAACGTGTAATAATAGTACCAGCTAATAATTATTGGAAGCCCACTCTTCCGGGCACCCACTGTAGTATCTCATTTAATCCCCACAGCATCTCTGTGAAATAGATGCAGTTGTCCTTGTTTTACAGAGGAGATTGCAAATAATAGACATGCAGAGTTTCTATCTTCAGAACGCAAAGTAGAAATTCTTGCTTTTTAGCCAAATTTTGTCTTCAGATTTTTCATCAGTTTGTTTAAACTGTGGGAATATTCAATAACCTTTTAAGAATACAGTTCTGTCATGGAAGCCTTTTCCGGTAGGATTACAGCTGGCATTTAACTGCGATTATGTATTACAGATCACTCTGCCTACCTCATCACTGGTCTCCTGCAAGTTCTTTCTTCATGCCTCAGGTTCTAACAGAATTAGCTTTCAGAAATGCAAGTCGGATCATAGCGATTTCCTGCTAAGACAGCCTGTGGCCCATGCTACCGTTGATCTCAGTGAAGGACCACATTCCCCCCGGATTGCAGATACCAGAGCTTCTGCGGGCCCTGTCACTGTGGCATAGTAGGAACCTTATCTGTAAGACGAAATACTTCATAGTCAGAACATAGAGTGACTAACAGAAAAGTGGGCAAATGATATAAATGGTTCTAGAAAAGAAACAAAAAATAGCTGCTAAGCAAAATCTTCCCCTTTACTCATGATAAGAGAAACACAGAATCAAATACAAATTATAGAACGTCTCCAAAAAGATACATTACAAACCATTGCCCTTGGAACGGGGAACTCCACTGTAAGAGAGAGGGGTACAGTAGCCTCCCCCTCCCCCACCACGGCTCCCCTCTGTGGTTTTACTTTCCCAGTCTCCACAGTCATCCATATTTCAGAAGCAGATGATCCTCCTGACGTAATGTCAGATGGTCATTAGTAGCCTAATGCTACGTCACAACCCCTACGTCATACCCCTCCCACCCTCGTCTCCTCATACCTACATTTTCTTATTTCACATTATCCCAGAAGGAAGGGTGAGTACAGTACCGCATGTCGAGAGAGAGAGAGAGATGGCATTCATACAGAATTTATTACAATATTTTGTAGTAATTGTTCTATTCTATATTAGTTATTGCTGTTAATCTCTTACTGTGTCCAATTTACGAATTAAATTTGATCAGAGGTGTGTATGCATAGGAAAAATCCTTGGACAAGTAGGGTTCTGTACTCTCTGCAGCTTCAGGCATCCACTGGGGGGTCTTGGAATGTCTCCCCCCGGCAGGTAAAGGGAGACACCTGTGTGTATATGTTCCTGAACTTTTGTGTCATATTTTGAATGTGTAGACAGTTACCCAAGTACTAGAGTAACATGGATTTCAGGCATTTAAATAAAAAATGTATCAAAACTAGCTTGCTCATTCTAGCGAGAGAGGACATCTGAATAGGTGGGCTACTCAGTTGAAAGAGGTTGACACCACTTCATACAGTGGGAAGCGGCATCCAGTCCCTCTCCCATGTCACATTTCAGACCACCAAACCCTCCCCATGTTATTCCAGTCGATCTTAGCACAACCTCATCTTCATTTTAAGATGTGGAAACTGAGGCTCAGATGAATTAGGATTTGCCTGGGGTCACACAGCTGGGCCGATCCGTACACACCGTGATGTGTTTCTTCACGTATCTGTCTCCCCACGCAGCTGCTGAACTGGTGACGCAGACGAGACCGTCGTCGGGACCTCGTGTTCCCAGTAGACCACCAGTAGGTGACTTCAGCTCAGAGGGGAGTCAGGCGACTGACGTCGCCTTCTCCTTTCGTTGTCTTGGGGAATACATGGGAAGAGATGAGCCTCACCAAAACACAAAACAAGATTTCAGGGAGCTCTTGTAAGTGGTGCCGTTGCTGAAGCAATACACAGAAAAACAGCTGTATAACTGTAGTTTCTGTGGATTCCATACCCCACAGAACCTTGTCTCTGAGTTGTGGAGTTTGATGCTGTGACATATTCCATTTGAATTTGCTTTAATATTCTACCTTTTGGAATCTTTACACTTGATTTTCTGCAAAGTGCCAGTAATAAGTGAGATAATTCAAGTGGAACATGGCGTATATATTTTTAAGGACTGAGTAAATAGTTGGAAATAAATAACTTGCCCAGGTAAGAATTCTTAGAACTCATTTGTACAAATCTCAAGCCTATTAGGTATCCCAGAGGCAGCAAAAACCCAAGGATGTACTGTATTATCAGAGGTTCTGAATCCTTCAACATGGAGACTTTCATGGTTGAAGTGAAATTGAATGCCAAAAAAAACTGACCTGTGTTATTTTCTTTAATGAAGAAGACAGCCGTCACTCTTTAAAAGAAAGAAAGACAAACCCACACAATCTGTATGGAATTTAGACACATTTTTTATTAAACAGGACTCTATATGAAACTCTTGAGAATTTTATACTAAGCTTAGATAAATATTTCATGAAACATCTGAAGATGCAATCATTTATAGTAATTTTAGTGCTCTGATTTCTGTTTGTTTTCAGATTTGAAAAAGCAAACATTTTCTATGATGATTTATATCTGGGAGCTGCCAATTGAGCCCAATTTCATAAGACTTATCTTTATAAATAAATGGAATAGGATAATAAGGAACAATTCAACTTACTTATATTTTATCTCTAACTCTTTAGACAGAAGCAATGTTAAAAGATCACTTTTTTCCCCTAACCGAAATATAAACTATGGCCTTTATAAATGTCCGATCTCCTTTATCCCCCTAAGTTGAAGCTGACTTCGGATCTGAGTATCATCTCCCCTCTGGCTGCCTCAGTAGACTATCTTTGGCCACTGCTGCTCTAGGTTCTCTGGAATAATGAAGCCTTCCCCCACTCCCACAACCTTCTGTGGCGACTAGAACCTCCGCCTGAAGTTTGAGAACTCACCAGCCCAGTCTCCCCGGTCCTGGGAGTTGTCGTTCAAACTGCCCACCCTTGGTATGCTAGTTTGATGGTGTTCGCCTTTTCTTAGAGACAGGTCTCGATTTGGGGTACGCTGTCTACATGAGTCTTTTCATGGCTCATTCTACGTACTCGCTTCTCTTTGCCTAAACTGCTGATGACCTGGGGATGCCTTGACGTGATGGTCCTGCATCATTTAAAGATGTATTTTCTTTATCCATTTGGACAGCAACTCCCAAGCACCTACTTTATTGTGCTCGTGGTCTGCGGTGTGCACGAGGAAGTTAGTATTCATTCAATAAATAGTGACCTACCACGTGCCAGACACCCCACTGCCATGTTAGGACGCAGCGGTGGGACAGGCATGACTCTTGCCCTCGCGGAACTGAGGCTTTAGTGGGGAGAGGAAGGCTGAGTGAGTCCCAGATACGGTAAAACGATGGCAGGTTATGAGAAGCACTTTGAAGAAATTCAAGTGAGAAAGGGCCAGGGCGCTGTAGCCACAGGGCAGGCAGCCCAGGAAGGGGCCTTGGAGATGAGAAGAAATTAGCAGGTGGAAGCGCATTCCTAGGAAGGGGGAGCAGGAGGGAGTTATGCTTTTCGATGTGACCTGCAAGGAGCCACAGGACATGGGGTGGAGTGAGGACGGCAACACCTGACCACGGAGGAGACCATGGGCTGTGGTCAGAGGTTGGCCTATGGTTCCCAGACTCTCTGGGAAGCCTTGAGGGGTTTCATGCAGGAAAGATAGGATCTCATTTCCTTTTTTATTCCTGAAAGATGATTCTGGCAGCTTTGTGAAAGCAAAGCAAAAGGAGCAAAGTAGGGGGTGGGTGATGGTTGAGGCGGAGAGAACCGAGTAGAATGTGGGGTGCAGGGAAAGGAAGATTGTGGCCGGCCAGTCTTCTGCAGGAGTGGAATCGGCAGAGGAGTAGCCCGAGAGACATTCCAGAAGCACCAGCAACACGATGGGCACATACCTGGGAAACAAGGGGAGGGAGGAGGGAATCACAGGAGTCATGGGTTTTTGAGCGGAGCGTCTGGGTGAGTGCTGGTGCCATTGGTAGAGACGGGGGACCCCAGGCATGGTAGCTTGCGGGAGGATGTCAGAGTTCTGTTTTGGAATAGCAGAGTGTGCTCCCAACCTGCCCCTTGTTCACAGTGGCCCCATGAGGAGCGGTATGAGCTACAGTTCACAAGTCTGAGGCACTCTAGGAATCAAGGTGAACGATCGTTGCTCAGGAGATCAGGGCGCCGAACGGCTCCGAGCAGGGGAGAGCCGGGTACTGGCACGACCTTGAGAAGAGGGACGGAAAGAGGTAGCTGGAGACATGCATCCCAGAAATCAGGCTCTGAGGGGGCAAACCACGTGTCCGGCCCAGCAGGAGTGGAAGGCTGGCAGTGTGAGGGCTTCCTGGGTGTTACTGTTAACGTTTTGTAGGGGCCTCGTCTCCAAGAGAGGTTAAGCTTGCTTGCCTCCTCTCTCTTCTCGCCTTTCCCTAGTTCAAGCCCACAGTCTACTTAGTTCCCGGGAACTCCACTGGGCTTTCAGACTTAGGACTGGGGGAGTCCCAGGGGATCCCCCCAGGTCCTCCACTTTGGTTGAGACACCTTTAGATGCTTCTTCGGGGGAGTCTCGCAGCACCGGTCTTCTCCCCACCCACCCTGCACACAATTCCCTGTCCATTTTGTCACCTGCTCTTACGTATTTCCATTTATTTCCCACCTAGGTTTTATGGCAGGCACACAAAGAAACCCCCAGATGTCTCAGTATGGACCTCAACAGACAGGACCACCCATGTCGCCTCATCCTTCTCCTGGAGGCCAGATGCATCCCGGAATCAGTAGCTTTCAGCAGAGTAACTCAAGTGGGACTTACGGTCCACAGATGAGCCAGTATGGACCACAAGGTAAACGACGCTTCTCAAAGCCGCATCACAGTAGGTTGTAGAAGGTTTGTGAGTATGTTAGTCCTTCAAGATCTTCATATCACAAACACCTTTCCAGATCCCATTATTTGTTACCCAGCGGATCTGTGCAGTAAACGCAAACCCGCCGCCCTTGTTGCCCGCAGTGACGGGGAGAGTAATTATAGCAAGTGATTGTTAGGCATTCAAGCATCAGACACCGTGGGGACTGCTGTTTAACGTAGAGAGGAGTAAGTCCATTTCTGTGGTGTAGTTCGAAATGCTTGTTGAGAAATAGACACAGACCTTGTCCTTGAAATATTTCTGACTTAACACTGGGGTTTCATCATGTTGAATTCTAATCGTGTCCCCTGTCTCTCCGCAACTGCCTCTGGAACAATGCACCCCGCACTCCGAAGGGTGCTGTCTCATGACATCCACTCCCGGTCTGTCTCCAGAGTTCTGTGTCCGGGAAAGAGCGGCTCTCATTTTCTCAGTCAGTACCAGTCTTACTCTGCGAAGACAGAGCCAAGCCTGACATGGACAGGTCTTTCAAAAAAGGAAGGTAACGGGGCACCTGGCTGGCCTCATGGAACGTGCGACTCTTGACTTTGGGGCTGTGAGTTCAAGCCCCAGGTTGGGTGTAGAGATGACTTAAAAATAAAATCTTTAAGATAATGACAAAAGGAAGCTAAAGCAAAAGTCAAAAAATAATGGAACCATTCCCAAAATGCACTGTTTACATTCTGCCTTCCTGGAAGTTGATGTATGTTTTGTCATGTACATGTAGGCCCTTCTTATCAAGGTTTTTAACCTGATACATTTTTTTCTAAGATACTTTTGGCAGTAAGGCATTTGAATTTCACACCTTCTTTATGTTTTGTTTATTTAAATTAGACATTAATGGATAATTTCAAGAGCATGAAATAATCTGGCACAATTCCCAGAGTTTCCTCAAAAATATCAGGAATATTCCAAGTGAAGATGATGAATGCCCACTAGGAAATTATAGTAAACCAACAGCCAAGTCAGGTCTCCTCCTGTTAAATACAGTCTTCTTCTCTTTTGAAGACCTGTGTGTGTGTGTGTGTGTGTGTGTGTGTGTGTGTGTGTGTGTGTAGCAAGCCACTGAGCTCTGTCGAGGGTCTCGAGTGTCAGGGTCCATTGAGCGTCTCCAGCCACGGAGCCAGCGCCACACAAGGCAAGATGCTCCCCTGAGAAGGCCTTGCCACCCTCTTGGCTTCTCCCCCGGTGTTCCTCAGGAAAGCCTTTCTTTCTATTTGTAGTACTTCACCGTTTGAAAACGGAGTGACCGATGTGTCTGTGTTGTTCTTGAAGATTTCTTTCTGAAAAATCTCCAGCATCTTCCATATTCCCACATCACATAGTTTCCTTGCCTCGAGTTGCTTCATTATCTTACATCCCAACTCTTTCTGTTAGGAACAACTCTGTTAGAACCCCCAAAACAAGACTTAGTGCTTGGCCCTTTCCCCCCTTTGTCCGTATGTGGAGTGGAGGTAAACTTTGTGTTTTGCTTGATTCCCTTTCCACCATGTCATCAGTGGCTTCCCGTGATACCAATTTCAGGAAACCCTAGGAATTCAGGTCCCACATGACAGTAGCAGTCTGCCTGTTCCCTGGCAGCCCCAGGAGGCTGTGACATGGAGACGTTTGTCCCTGCTCTGAGGCAGGTCAGTGAGGCACTCAGGTGTAAGACCACATCTCTGCCCACAGGACCCATCCGGCAGCGGGTGTCTTCAAAACTGGGTTCCTTTGACCCTCGTGAAAAGGAGAAAACTTTAGTGAAAGTTAGAAAAGCAGTTTGTATGTTGTGATACACACAGAAAATGGGGACTTGAGCTCAGAATATAACTGGAGACAAGGTCAGAGCCTGTTGTTCTCAGAACTGGGAGTGGCTAAAGGTCTGGGACTTAACCACTAAAACTCACAAGGGCTTTGTGTAATCTTCAAAATTGGTCTGTCTTCTCTTAAATAATTCACTCTCGCAACCTCATCCTCTGCTGTTCTCAGAATAAGGGAAGATAGAACCTTGACTATCTGATGAGTCTTTTGTGAACAGTTAAGAAAGCGCTTACGCTCCCGGAGTTAATAGCAGGAAAGGCCATTTCTATAGAATGGATTTCTTCTCCAAATAAAACCCTCAGTTTTCCAGAATAATTGAACGTTAGGATTCATAATTTAAGAGCACTGAACCTGTGAGAGTTCTCATCCAAACTGCTCTATGTCCTTGGAAAAGTACTTACTCTTTGGGAATTACTTTTCCTCTAGAAAATGAGAAAATTCGATCATGTTACTTTGGAATTTGCTTCCAGTTCAGATGTCCTGCAGTCTAAATCTTGCTTCCAACTCCACAGCCTTTTATATCAACACAACTGGCTGGATCCACTCGTAACATTTTGGTCTTATAGTCAAGAAGGGATTTCTTTTAAGGCAGAAACACTGAGTTTAGGTTGATATTTGAAACCATTTAGAATAAGGATAATTTGCATGCTCAACACTTTTTCACTTGGAGAACTTGAGTACCTGCATTTCTGTCCTATCTGCCGTCTCTCCTTCCCCCAAGTGACCTCTCGCTCACAGCCACTGCGACGTGCGAGTCCTCCTGGGGTCCTTGACGGGCTTCCAGCACTGTGTGCTTAAAATCAGCGTCCTGGTACTCTGTGTTCAACTCAGAATTGTTCGCCTTTCCTCCTTGTCTTCTCCTCCAGCAAACACTAAATCACAGGAAACAAATGCTTGTAACATACTGTTCACTTCCACAAATGGCCTTACTTTTGAATTTCTCTTTGTTGATCCTTTTAAACATGACACAAATGAAGTATTTTTTTCTTCCTCTTCTTAATTAACTACTCAAATTAGTAGTAAAACATTCAGCTTACAATTTTGTGTTACATGTGTTAAGGTCTCTGAAAAGAGTCACTTGTGTGTGACCCACAGAGCCCATTAGTCCCATCTTCCGTTTCTGTACCGAGCTAGATGACTTTCTTCTGGGTTCATTTTGTTTTTAAGAGGCCTCAGAGGAAGATCTCTTAGTCTTTTTTTCAACCTTTTTACTGTCAGGAATGGCTTCTTCAAAATTGTTTTTAGTAATAACAGCCAACATTTATTACTGTGTCCTGGGTCCTGTTTGAGGCGTTTTGTTTTGTTTCGCTATAGATTTTATTTATTTACTTATTTGAGAGAGAGAGAGAGAGAGAGAGAGAGAGAGAGCGAACAGGGGGAGGAGCGAAGGGAGAATCCCAAGCCGACTATCCTGAACACGAAGCCCAACGCAGGGCTTGACCTTTCAACCCCGAGATCATGACCTGAGCTGAAATCAAGAGTCAGACACTCAACTGACTGAGCCACCCAGGCGCCCCTGGAGTGTTTTCCACCGACTAACTCATTTAATGCCCACGACAGGCTCTGTGATACGCCTGTTACTATGGCACGTGGCAGATGAAGAAACTGACGCATATAGTAGGCAAACAGCTTCACCAGGACACGCAGTGGTCGTGCCGGGATTCAAATTCAGACTGACTTGCCCATTTTCTTAATTAATGGGAAGCTGTGACATTATCCCCATTTTGCAGATGAGCAGGTGAGCAGGTTACGTATTGACCCACAGTCCCACAGCTAGTAAGTGTGAGAGCCAGGGTTCAAACCAAAGGAGACCTCGGAGACCGCTCACATAGTCCCATGGTTCCGACATAACCCCTCCTGGCCGGTTCATTCATTTAGTAAGCCACTGGGGAGACACAAGCTACTTGCCTTCAAGGAATAAGGAACATTTTGAGAGTACAGGCTTAGAAATACATCAGAGGTACTAGAGATGAAGAAAAAAGTTTCTATGAAGTTAAGGAAATTTTTAGAAATGTATATTAATACTGTAAATTCTGAATTATTTAATATGCGAGTGGAATGAATCAAATCTAAATGTGTGAAAATGTTTAATTGCAGTATATTTTATGAAGTAGTGCTTTTCTACCTTCAAGCAAGTACATATAGTAACTATCCCTATAAAGTGTTTGCAAGTAGGGTGATTGAGACTTGCTTTAATAAATGGAAAGGAGTTATAGAATTGACATGTTAATTATTAATGAATTTGGGGGAAAGAGCTGAAACAAATTTCACCTTTATAGCCTTTATATTTCTTCTTTTTTTTAATGATTTTATTTATCTATTTGACACACAGAGATCAAAAGTAGACAGAGAGGCAGGCAGGAAGAGAGAGGGGGAAGCAGGCTCCCCGCTGAGCAGAGAGCCCAACGGGGGGCTCATCCCCAGGACCCCGAGACCATGACCTGAGCTGAAGGCAGAGACCCAACCCACTGAGCCATCCAGGTGCCCCAGCCTTTATAGTTCTTAAGAACAAAGACCGCCTTGTATTGTGTTCTCTAGAACAGTGTCTCTCAAAATGACGACAAATATTTTTTGCATATTTGTCACTAATTGCAGAAAATGGACATCTAGCCTTAATTTTGCTATAAATAAGCAATATTACCTTGGGCAACTAAATAATTCTGAGCTTCAAGTCCCCTCAGTTCTCACTCACTTGCACAAAAGTGTCTGGGCTGGCACGTACAGCTGCACAGGTTGTATACTGATGCAGCCTTGGGTTTATGCCTTAGTTTGTATAGTGTGTGTCTTAGGAAGCAGGGAACTTTTAAGTAGGTGAGTCTGAAGAGACTTTTATTTCTTTTCTTTTTTAAGAGTTAATTATTTATTTTAGAGAAAGAGCGTGCATGTACCCACGCGTGCATACGGAAGCAGGGGGAGGGGCAGAGGGAGTGGGAGAGAATCTCTAGCAGGTGCACCACTGAGTGCAGAGCCCGCCAAGGGCTCAATCCCAGGACCCTGGGATTATGACCTGAGCTGAGACCAAGAGTTGGACACTTAATCGACTGAGCCATGCAGGCACCCTGAGACTTATTTCTAAGTTACTTGATAAAAGGTATTTTTACCAGAGCTTAAAGATTTTTTGTTAGTTTGTTTGTTTTCTA